CGAGTAGATGCTATGCTTAGATCAATGGTAGCGTGAGTAACCTGTCGTTGCTCATAATAGGGGATTATTATTACTCTCATAATAAAATGATGAAAGAAAAAATAGAAACAGGGTAGGGATATGGTATGGGAATTGGTGGGTGTAATAGGTTATGTCTCGCGGCCAACGGGGCTTAACTTGGGTTACACTGTTTTCTCTGTTCGTGTCGATTAAGGGTCGTCCGTTGTTGTGGATGGTAATCATGTTACAGACTAATTATCCTGAGCACATACATGCTTATGAGAGCGGGAAGGCTCGTTACGCTCTTGTCGTGGGTTCCGTCTCTTTTAGGAGCGACTGATTCGAGGCGGGAAAAGATAGAGGTCTAAGTACCATACTGAGACCGGGTCTCAAGTGTGGGGGCTTGGAGTCCAAGTTTGGACGGGGATCTAGACCCTGTGACAGAAGTGGAATGGGTTGATCTTGTTTGTGCCTCGGGTATAAACGGGACTTGTGTTTCGGGTACCCAGTTGGGATACATTGGTTCATGAATCGCCGTTTCTGTGAGACGGTACGACTTGGCTATAGTTTAGCACCGTAGTAAGAACTGGAAGATGAAAGATAGTGAAATGGTTCTGATTGCTTAATCCTTACTTGAAAGTAGAATATGTGCTTACCTAAAATGGTTAGCTAATGAAGTAATCATGACTGCTAATAAAAGTTGACTGTAAGGATGAACTATTAGTAATGCTTTTCGCAAACAAAAAGAAAACAACAAACCCATGGTGTCAATCATATCCTTGAGAGTCGGAAAACTATTCCCACTAGTCGGGTAAGTCTTGCGAGTACATTGTGTAATCAGGGTTTATTTTACTCCCGTTGCAGGTGCAGCTTGAGGAGTAGCGTTTGTGTGGAGGATTCTTCTGGTGGGCACAGACGGATCCTTGTATCGTTTTCACTAGATGTTTATTTTTATTCCGCTATTTAATTATCGCACTCTAAAGTCTGGTATTGTAATAAATAATTTTCAAGAACTCATGTTGTATGAAATGGACTAAGCGTGTGTTTAGTTCCAACCCCAAATTCCCAAAAAGTGTTATAGTATCCATCATATCGAATCTTGCGATACGTGCATGGAGCATTAAATGTAGACAAAAAAACTAATTGCACAGTTTGGTTGGAAATTACGATATGAACGTTTTGAGCCTAATTAGTCCATAATTAAACACTAATTGTCAAATAAAAACGAAAGTGCTACAGTAGTCCAAATTTCCAAATTCACCCAACTAAACATGCGCTAAGTATTGTAAGCTCGTACTCATTATTAAATTCTGGACGTAAAACGTGGATTGTTTCAAGTTTTTTCTTAGGGTGTGCTCGACGGAACTGTCCAATATAGCTCACTTTTGAGGTGCTTAGTGCTTAGTGAAAAACTTTGGATTGTTTCGCCAGTTTTTTTTGGTTCTCCTTCTCTTCTCGACGCTTAATGGCGTCCAATATAGCTCACTTTTGAGGTGCTTAGTGCTTAGTGAAAGACAAGTGTCTCCGAAAACGTGTTATTTTGGACGTTCTGCCACAGTTTGCTGGTTCTCCTTCTCTTCTCGACGCCAGTGACGTTCGAAATAACTCGGGTCCCACGTGGACGCGGCTGCAGGCGAGGGCGCATTTAAGCAAGATTTGTGATACTTAGAAAAATCATCATATTTTTTTTATGTAAATTAAATGAAAAAGTTCGAAAATTATAGATCTCGACGAGATATTTTCAGACACGGGGCCACGAGCCACGACCACGCTTCACTAAATCACACTTGAGGCCCTGTTTGGAAGCCTAGTATTTGGGCCAAAACCCTTGTAAATTACATGCCTTTGAACTTTTCCGTCCCAAATCAGAAATGTCTGCTTGGAAGCCCGGTGAAGCGACTAATTTTACGTCTGGTTTGGGCTAAAACCAGCGGAAAAAAACTGTGGCCACCTTCGGCCCGAGAAAAAAATACGACGTCTATCGGGGAGCAACTCGATCTCCCTCCCCTGGCTAGACCCTACAGAGCCGAGCGAGAGTTCCTTGCGGCGGCGGCGGCGGCGGCCCCAACCTGAGGGCGGCGAGAAGGCGGGTTCAACTCGATCTCCCTTCGCTGGCTAGACCCGACGGAGCCGAGGGTTCCTCGCGGCGACGGCGGCAGCGGCAGCGGCGGCGACGGTGGCGGCGGCGGCCCCGAGCTGAGGGTGGCGAGAAGGCATCAACGCGAGAGCGAGCGAATCCACGTCCTCGACGCGCGAATCCTAGAGCCCCGGCGACAGAAATCGAATCCATTCAGGTATCCTCCACTCACGTTCTTCATTTTTCTGCAGTTGTTCTCCTAGCACATCGATAGATCTAGTATGTCCATGTCGATCTTCTACTAGTACATTCAGATCCTGGTGGTGGCACCAACTTCCTCGTATTGTCCTTGGGATGGAGAGGATTTCTTTGTTTCATGCGTCCTCTACCTAGATGTGTGATATTAGGCTCAGCTGGCTGTTCTTGCGTCCTCTACCTAGATGTGTGATATTAGGTTCAGCTGGCTGCCACAAATTTCAGGTTTGAATGCAAGTAGCCATTTCATAGGTGCTTTCATCATTTTACTAGCTTTCTGCACATTACAATTCTTTGCCCGAAGAAACCTCGATAGCTTAACATCTCAAAAGGAAATCATGAATGTCTGCTGATGAGTGTTCACCAAGCTGCAGGTTAATTTGCTTCTACAGAGAGGGACATCTAGGGTTAGTTACTCCTATCAACACATATACATGCATGTGATGCCATAGATCATCCTTTTTAATTTCCCAAAGTGAATCCATCGGCTCAGGACATGAATTGCGGCTGCATTCTTCAATTCCTAGCTAGCCAGCAGATTCTTTTTTATTATTTTTTTAAAAGGCCGACCTAGCTTAGCTAATTTCTCTGTTTTGGGTCGATGACTAATTGACTATCGTGTGCAGTGTCACTGAATGGACAGTCGATATAACCCTAGCTAGCTAGAGCGAGACTGCTTATATATATTCTTGGGGTTCAAATGGTTGACCAAATGGTGATATATGTCAGAAATATAATGTGTCGACAATATAATTTCTCTCTAAAAATTACTTCATTCATTCCTCTATGTATGTAGCTGTAGCCTTAAGCCCTTAAGCATGAAATGTAAAGATCAATTCAATATCCTCTTCAGATAAGAAATATCGTGCTTCTTGTCTCTATGGCTTGGCACAGGAAAGGCGCGGAACACCCTGTAATGCCTCGGCTCATTAATACTGTTGGCTTATATACTTTTTTCCAAAGACCTCTCTCGCATACCAGAAACTAAACCATCTTCATATCCTAGGAATGCATAAATGCTTTGAGAAGAAGAATGAACATGCATAAATCAATTGTAGAGCTCAGCTTTTATGTCCAACAGTTACCTAATCAGTCCATCCAGTCACAAGAAGCAGTACTTTGAAAATAGACATAGATTTGAGATGTGCAGTTTCAAAGAGCTTTTAGGTGTATATAAGGTTTAGAACAGAGAGACAGAGAGTCTTTTATGTGTATATAAGGTTCAGAACAGAGAATCTTTATGTAAAGATCCTTGATTTTGAGGTTTTTATGGATGCCCTGAACAGAGATATTTCTAGGCTATGAAACCGTGCTTTATGGCCGACTAAAGAGGTGAATATGTTTGAAACACAATCAAACAAAAGTAAGTTTGCTTGTTTTTGAAATTCACATCAATCTATTGGCCGTCCATTTATTCTTATATGCATGTAATGGAATATCTCTGAAAGTGCTTATTTATTTGAGATTTTTAACAATGTTGCGCACTCTATGCTGCAGGTTAGTGGCTGCAAAAAAATGTGAAGATCTTGCAAGATCATGGCCTTGTGTGTGATCTTTGAAAGAAAACAAATACACATTAACAATATGTTGTTATTGTGAATTAATGCAATGCAAATCTTCTGCAAAGTTGTCTTTATTGTTGGTTATATACTTATATCCAAACTTGGTGGCTCAGAATTGCATCAGTTATGAACTGATCTGTGGTGTCTTTTGGTCTGAAGCAACCATATATTTCCTTGGATAGGTGATGGCATGTAATTATCTCATTTTTGAACTTGAGCAATGACATACCTACTGTGATGTCTAGTTCAGTGATGGCATTTGATCCATCTGTAAGCATTAGTACATCATTTTTCTAGAATTGTAATGGAAACATAGTATAACATTTTTTTTTATAATTGTGATGGGTGACAACAGTGACATGCCTACCATCGCAAAACATGGTTATTAAGTAGGCTAGTAATTGATGCATGCAGCATGCTCTGTATATATGGGGATACAAGCACAATGCTTGCATCGAGCAACAGAGCAAAGCATATACATGGGAGCACGCGTGACAGCAAACACTTGCTAGCAGATGCAAGCGGACGCATTCTATCCAAACGGCACTTTACAAGGGTAAAATAAAACAACAGTATTCTTGTGCACAATAAATTACAAGCGGAAATGATTTGCACCTGAGAAATATTACCGAACTGCCAAACAGGACCTAAGGGAAGGGTCACGGGCTGCAATGGGCCGTATGACATGGCTTTCCAATGGCTGCTGTGATTGCGAGGAGGTCGTACTGTTGCAGCCCACGCGGTGGGCAGGGCAGCAGCCCATCTTGCACATGGCCCCACCTTTTATCATATTTGCTTCAACTATTCTAATTTGGGGCTTTTTGTACAGTATATAAAGAGAATCAAGTTTCTTATAGTTTCTTATCTGGGAGAGAGAGAATCAAGTAACACAGGAAGTTAAGAACGGCGAATTCAGTAGTGTTTAATTCACGAAACGGAGCCCAGGTACAATAAAAGGCTAACAGGGGCTCATATCATCGACAGCCTTGCGAAGTGCTGTTTACCGCACAATTTATGAAAATTTTCCTGATGGCATATCTTATAGATATAGATGCTACTTAAGTACATATACATATAAAAAAACTAGCTGTCAAGTAAACATTTCGTTAAAAATACAAGGGGTTAGAACTTCGATGTCGCCTCTTTGATCTCCTCCAAGGAGATAACCTGCCACAAGTATACAACAAAAATCATTAGTCTCGAGGGATTTGCACCGAACATATCATGGATGCAGATATCAGAGGACAAGAAAGCATTGATAGAATGCAAAAGGGACATGCCTGGTCCTTCCCAGCAAAATCATTATCGGGAGTAAGAAAAAGCATACAGTGGCATTCCTTCCTGCAGAAGTAGACCGCTCATATAAGAAATGATTTTCCTTTCAGGGGAAGAGAACTAGAATTACATTATTATCTAGCAGATGTTTTTTATAAAAAAAAATGGATACATGGTAGGCTGGAGTTTGCAGTTTTGCAAGGAATATGCCTTCATAATCATTAATCAATGCTTATGCTGTGGGATTGGAACAGAGATAGCTAGTTGGCCAATTATTCATATGGTACTCCGAGTGAAAAAGAACCTCAGCCTGTTTTGCAACAGTACAGGCACAGTACTATATCTATAACTTTGAACATAGAACAGTGCTGCCACAACATTCTCTATGCACTATCGGAGAAAAATAGCTGGAAGTGTAGTTCATGAACACACCTCTCACGCATGGGGACGCATGGGCAGTTCCAAAATCCTTGTGCTACCTCCGCAGCTTTGTCATCATAATGCCTGGTCAGATTTACAAGAAGTTTCGGACAGAACAATAGTTGAGACCCTGTATAAATAATGGATGAACAATTGAGGGGAAAAATACATAAGATAAATTACCTACAAGGGCATAGAGGAGCTCCGAGAGTATCTCTGTGATCAGCAAGTCCCTGCAAACATGTTATATAGGTCATACTCACAATGATGGAGACACAATAAGTATTCTCATTTGTGCTTTATCATCAAGAAGAAATTACAGAATTCCTATATACCTATCATCAAGAAAAGGTGATGGTTGCTCTGAGAAAACCAGAGTAGAGCACATGCATTTAACATACCCATGTGCTTTGATATAAGCTTGCTGATTTATAATGGCAATGCAGTTGTTCCCTCAATTCCTAAAATGGCACTGAAGCTGATATCCTTAACCCTAAACTTCTAAATAGATCCTCCAAGTCATGGATGCACTGCCCACAGGATGTGTGTGTTTTGGGTTGGGATCAAGAGAGGAAAAAAAAATGTTTAGCATTACCACCGTATTCAACCTGGTGGTGCCCTTAAACACAACTGTTCGCTTTGCACGTATTTTAGAGTAATCTTATTTGCTATAAAATAAACCATCATTTTCCAAATTATATTTCTCTTTTGTTAACAAATATTTACTAGGAATTTGGAGGAATAAGCTGAGCCATATTGCAACCACCTGATGCACATAAGCTGGCTGTGCCAAACAGCAGCTGAAGGTCGAGCGCTGCCATCTACTATCTAGACTCTCCTCTGTACAATTACCATCCTCAGGTTATAAATCAGGTGCTGTAGGCCCCTGGGAGGATTACCATTACCAAGGAGCATCTAGAAGGAAGGCTGGGAGAATTAGTTCTCTGTAATACATATTACTGTTTCTTTCTTTCAGCCTTATTGTTAGCATGAAGTAGCTTCTGTTCTTCCCCAGTGCAAGACCATAGTGCTATTAATGGTGTAACCTGGATGTAATTGTGGATGATGTGTTTGTTATGTCTCTTAGCATTTTGTTGATTTCTAAGCCTTATGACATCTTTTGTCCCCCAATCCGCTACTTTCCGGTCTAGATTGCTATTCCCGGCCTTTGCTTTCTATTCTCCCCTAACTTATATCCCAAAAACCTTGTGCTGGGATGCCAATAAACCTAAATCTCAGTGTTAATCGGTGGATGTCTTTGATGTTGGGTCGCAGTATCACCTACGAGGACAAGAGTTCAGGACTATCGGACGGCACTGACCTTGATGACGACGGCAGTGACTGTCTTATCCGCGCAGAAGAAGGTGTTCGAGCGGCGGGCGTACTGCTCGGAGAACTTGCGCATGACCTCCACCGACTTATCGGACTTATCGTTGGAGGCATCCGCTCCTGCGGCTGCCCACAACAGATACCATATCAGTCAGTTCATCCCGATTTCAGTGGAGGAGAGGGCAGAAATTGGAGTCCATCCCGATTTCAGTGAGGGGAGGGCAGAAATTGGAGGAGTCCACGAATCTGGGGGGATCGGCGCGGACGTAGTGACGTACCTTGAGCTCGGACGGCGCATCTGCGGGGGCGTCCTTTGGGCGCCGTCGACGACGGGCGGACGGGGAGCCCCCCGCACCTGACGGTTGCGGTGACGGTGGATGTCATCGCCGGCCGGTGCCGGTGCCCGCCCGCCGATCTGGAGTAGGCGGTGGTGGTCCCGGTGGTTGGGCGGAAGGGAACGGAGCGAGGGGAGCTGGAGAGTGAACGGTCCAGAGCAGAGAGATGGATGGGGAGGGAGCAGAAACTGGTGTGGTGAGGACTGGAAGCCTTGGAGAGCTCGGTCGGTGGAAGCAGCGTCGGATGGGGTGGAGACGTGGATGGAGCAGCGGCGGCTGTGCCTGTGTGCCCTGTGTCCCCTGTCTGCGGATAGAGAGACGCGACGCGAGAGCCTGCGACTGCGAGGCAGCGACAACGCGATGCGAGCTAATATCCCGGTGCTTTATCCCGAGCCTACACAATTCGCACTTCAGCTTAGACAGCGATTTTTTATACAGGAGAACAAAAGGAACCTACTCGAATATTGTCTAGATAATGGATGGAAGAACGATAATTCGGGGCTCTAGATTGTGGGAGCATCGAAAATAGCCAAGTCAGAAATTTGTTATTTCCATTTTCATCGTTCCTTGTTTGAATTAAATTTTGTAGCGTGTTTGATGATAACGTACTCTAATACTCCCTCCGTCCCTAATGAGTGTCGTCAAAAAAATTTAAACTTGACTAAGTTTATAAAAAATATTAACCACATTTGTATTTCTAAATAAGTTTATTATAAAAATATATTGACCGATCTATCTAACGATATTAATTATGTACTACAAATATTAATACTTCTTTTTGTATATATTTGATCAAAGTTGAAAAAGTTTGATTTTTCGGTAAAAAAGAATGATACATATTTAGGGACAAAAAGTACTCTATAGCAGTACTTTTTACAAACTATCTAATATTTTGTTTATTTATGCAGTCGTGCAGCGCTGACAGTAATAGTGCTTACCTCTGTTTTATGTGTGGAGAATCGAGAGTACCAAAATATAGATCCAGGCACATTGAAACGCCAAAACCACGAACATCCCAACATGCAACAAAGATTTTAAGGTATGCATCATTTCATGGAAGAAGCATCTTCAATTTAATATTTTACAACTCCTGGCTCAATGGGAGCATACATGATACAGCAGCTACGAAGAGGCAAACGGCCCATCCAAACAAACAAAAAATAGAATGGGGGCCTAGCACAACTGAAGATGCTACCTTCCACATATACATTGGAGCTTTTGCCTGCTTTCTTTACAAGACACAGATCACTCTATATACTTGCAATGATTCTCGCCTATTTCCCCGCTCATACGAATCCTCCCTAACTGTACAGAAGAATGAAATAATCATCTTTCGCTTTCCTCAGCGTCTTCCAATGAGTCCAGCCACGTTCTGGGCAACAACTTTTTTGGCCTCCAGTGAAACAGGTGAGTCACCAATATACATGTCGAAGAAAGCCTCTGTTCATCAGACAAGAAACAGTTACAAACAAAGGAACTGTACCATATTGTAACCAATTGCATGATGTACTCCATCGTTTATCAAATGCGAAAGAGGCACAAGTTAACATTATCCAAATTAAGCTTATCTGTAGATTTCGTATTTTCTTTCAGCACTTCCATATGTTCAGGGAAAGCAAGGATACATATTGTGCAAAGTAAATATCATTTTCCATAAATATTTACTCCCTCAAATCTAAATTATAGGTCGCTTTAGTTTTTTTTTCCTAAGTCAAACTCCTTTAACTTTGGCCAAGTTTATAGGAAACTGCACCAACATCAAATTAATTTCATTAAATCCTCCATGAAATATGTTTCCATAGCGCATTTATTTGAACTTGCAGATGTCAACATATTTTTCTAAAACTTGATGAAATTCAAGAAGTTTGACTTAGGACAAAGCTAAAGTGAATTATAATTTGGAACGGAGGGAGTACTTAGCAAGTTTTTACTTACTGCAAAGATCTTTGCTCTGAACAGCACCAATTTGTTTCCCATCAACTGCGTAAAAATGCTCTTGTCAAGATGGATCCAATATTGCAGTGGAAACAGCTCAAAAGATTTTTGTGGGCATAAGGTACTTACTTTCTGTTATTAGTTTCCCATCTGATGTTTGACAGAAGTCAATCTTCGTACCCTGCAGTTATATTTACATGTTATCCTTATAGTAAAGCTGAGTACAAAGAATGGCTATAGACTGGGTAACATCATAACATTTTGCCACTATACTCAAATCCAGAATTTGGCAAAATGAACCAAGGTTTTTTTTCTGTATTATCAACCTACTAGAGATTTATAGGGCATAGTAATTATTTAGGTAGTTTTAGTTGGTTGCAATATTGTTCATACAGATTTTCTCTGGTCTTGTTTATAAAAAAGATCATACTAATTGTAGGAACCGAGCCTATCTCAATTGATGGTAGGTGTGGTTGTACATCACTAGGACACTAGCCAGGTTTGAGTCTACTTGGACTCAAAATTTGGGAGCCTATTTCTTCTTATTTACAATGCCACCTAGTTTCTCCTAGGTTGGTCAAGGTAAGTTCATTGCTACTGCAAGGAACAGAGGGTGTAGTTAACTAGTCAAGCGATCATGTTTAAACTTATAGAACCTCAAATGATGGATTAGGCCTTACCGAAGGTATGGCGATATCTTCCGTGAAGTGAGAACCAAAGGTCTTCAAGCAGTGAAAGTCAGTGTTAGGATTTATCTGGTTGAATGGAAATGCAGGTCTGTAAGTCAGTTCTACACTCGACATAATAACTAGAAAAGAATTGCAGTAGCAGCTGAGCGCCTGAGCCACAAAGTACCTTCTGCAGACGCAGGCCAAGGGACTTCTCAAACACGCTGCAAGAAAAATAAAATGAGTGTGAGTTTTGTCTTCAAAAGACAACATAATTTCGCGGTGAGAGAAGAATCATGACAGTTTTATTTTTCTTACTCTCGCACTGCACCAACGCTAAGGCCATTGTAGTTAACCACCAACCTAACCCTCATATCAAGGTTTTCCCTGGAAAAAAACAATACAAGTTTATGAGCATCAGAAGATAACAGAATGAAACTCCAGAACAACAGATTCGATGTAAACATTCAGAATCCTACAATATCTGCTTGCCACTAAACAAAAATCTGTACTCTGAGGATTAATAAGTGATTGTATATATGCAAATGAGGCTGTAAACTTTGCATGAGCACCTGTGTGTCACATACATTCTGAAATGGACGACACTAATACAAATGCAGATATAAGCAGGAATTTATTTAATGATAATACATCAACTGATAGCAAGTATTGCTCCCAGCAACCACCTAGCACAATAACATATCCAGCTCAGTGGATGTTCCATATGCACCTTTGGTGTTACATTACTTAACAAGGGAGCTAAATTTTGTGCAGCCACATTAGTCAGTGCTAGGCCTATGCACTTCCTAAAATGTATGGTCGCCAAACTCACGTAGGGCCTGACTGGGAGATGAGATTTGCTCTAGAAATTTTAGGATTTAGAATTAAAACCTAAGAAACAGATACCAAAACCTCCTTTACAAACAGGACCTTACGGTAAGCAACAAGTTATCATGAAAATGATGTATCAATATACCTGAGAAGATCGCTATAGAAATCAGGGTTCTCCATCAGCTTGTCCGTTGGAAATGAACCATACTTAGGACCCAGTTTTTCCCGGATAGAAGTTGGTTGCATATCTATGAGAAAATTTCATCAGTAACAAACGGAGGCTTGTCAAATAAGCAGTATTCACTGGCAAACTGACACAGAACAGAACCAATTGAAAAAATTCTGTAACTCACATAAACCAAAAGCGTACAGGTTCAGATTTTTTATCCTCATTACTCTCATGCCTTTGAAACCTATCCCAACAAGGACCTGAAGGTTTAATTATCAATAGAAACTGTCACAAGGAGGGATCAAAACGAAGAATTTTACAGAACGATACGAAAACTGAAAAGTAATATACCAAAACTGAAAGATTTAAGTCAATGTTTCAAAACCATAAAAAAAATTGCATTGCGCAGATACCGGATGCATAAAAGTATACAGTATATACAATTATGTAGACTTTAAGTTCTAAATTGTCAAAGCAAGTTTCAATAGAAAAAAAATCACGAACATGTACCCCAGCTGGTTCAATTTATGTATTGATTGTTATACACCACTACCTTGCATAACAATGAAAATGATTTAAAATGAAAAATTCTATATACGTAAGAAATAAAATCAATTCCTCCGGAATAAGAGAAACTATGGTTTTAAGGAAAAGGAAAATACCGCTGCAGATGGACTGGAATCATCTTCCAGAAATGCTGGGAATTTGATTCCAGTTTTTGGTTCAATTGGATCTTCTTGAAATATAGTACTAGGCACAGAAGGACAAGCATAACTTAAGCCTTTTCCTTCTACATAAGGCTGATCAACAAGTCTTCTGATATCACTGTCAATGTTTCGCGATGCGATTGACTCGGCAAGCATCATTGGTGATCTTGTCCATTCAAAAAAGGAAATCATCAGTTAACTAGAGACAACTATACAAGAGAAAGAAACGAATAAGGAGAGTGCATCACAAATACAAATAAACTGTATTGGAGCATGGTCCTCACATATTTTCAAGTGGTGGTACGATAGCAGCAGCGCCAGCTAGAGTAAGAAGATTGGAGGCATGTTGCTGCTCATTCAATAGTCGCCCAATCGTTCCACTTGCAAGCCTAGCTAAAATTAGTTGTATTGCTTGCTCTTGTCTCACTAGAAAGCTGAACTGCAGTCTAGTCAAATTTTGCATGTGAGAGCCCACTTGGTTGAAATGCAACTGACAAGATCTAGAACTGGTCGCTGCTACAGATGCCAGCCAGCCCAAAATCTTAGGATCAGATGGTCTAGAAAGCCAGAAATAGAGAGCTCGGGAAAGCTTGTTGAGGCGATTGAAAGCTCCATGGACCATTACGTTTCCAGAAGAACAAATCTTCCTATGATGTCTTAAAGAAGTACCCAGCACTGTACCGGCTTGTGAAAACAAATTCAATCCAAGATCATGAGACGTTGGAAACTCTGGTTGGAACTTGTATGGGTATCCCCTGTCTATATCAAGAGTGGATAGAATCAACTGATTGGGCTTCATTGTGAAATATCCTTCAAAAATACAGGCTCCTGAATGTAGGAGGTCTTTATATCAAGGTTGGGAATGTATGACGTCAAGGTTGGGAATGTATGACAAGGATATTCAATGATCTGTCAATTGGAACAAAGTAAGCTGAATCAGATAAACAAATTTTTACAGTAAGAAGGTACAAGGAAATGTCGCATATCAGGTCAAACAAAATATTGCGCACAAGTTGCTGGACATAAAGCTGTAAAGACGAATTACAATTCAACCTAGCTCTAGCTACTTTTCAGACCAGACAACGATTAATAGGCTACATATATAATAAAAAGATTTGAAGGACACCAACTTGAATTCTGGCATGGTTGATTTGCAACATAGTCTCTCTATCTAAACAGGCCTTAACAATTAAAACCAGAAATTTTTTTTAAAAAAAAAACCTTTTGTTAGAAACTAATCACACGAACCTATCACCTAAACAAAATGTGTGTTTGCATGTTATAAAGTATGTATACATTTTTTTACGAACATAATGACAATTCAATCTGAATTACACTTCAAGCCGACAATTATGCCAGCCAAGCAAATATGTTTCATCTGCGACCAACCACCCTGCCACCTCAAGATTCCAACGACCGACAAAGATGGCTCTGATGACCATCAATCCTGCCTAAAAGCATGCGATTTCCTCACCGCAGATCAACGACACGCCACTAAAACCACCCGCATTCACATCTCCCCGATCACAAATCGAACAGCACCAAAACAAAAGCTCGAGCGATCACCAAACCAACCTGTCGGCTCCAAATCGGCCGGAGGGGAGACCGCGGCAAGAGCAAGCGAAGGAGGAGAAGGGGCAGGGACGGACTACCGCCTACGATCCACGATTCCACGCCTGGCTTGCTCGATCCCTCGGCGAATGGGTTGTTGCGGATTCGGGCGCCGGACTAATCGACGCAGACCGAAGCCAAATCGGGAGGAAAATGGGGAGGCGAAAAGGAACTGCTCTCCGGGATTTCCTTTGCCTCCCCAAAGTCCGATTGCGCCCGCCGGCCGGCTCGCCGCGCCCTCGCCTCCCGTCCCGTGGGGTGAGAGGCGAAGAACGCGTGCAAGTGCTCCGACGTTTGCTTTCCTCCTCCTCTGACCTCTCCCCCTCCTAGCCGAAATACGACCCGGTAGCTTCCCTCCTTTAGCTTTCCCCGGGCGACCACACAAAAAATCCTATTTTTATATACAAAAGTCCTCCTCTCGTTCAAGTCTGTACCCGTTTCGGATACGAGAGAACAGTAGGGGGGCGAGAGTATTAGCTCCAGACCGTTCCGAGAAGGTGCTGGGGGCTGGACCGGGAACCGCGGGGATATTCCGCGGGACGATCGGACGGCCACCAGAGGCTGGGCGACTGTGGGTTGGACGGCTGGACGGTTGATGTGACGTGTCCGGGGAATTTTCTTGCGCGTCGACCGCGGAGAGAAACACGGTCGTCGGCTGAAACACGTTTAAAATGGACCGGTCGGTCTTTTGCTTCGACCACGTCGACCGACGAGGTCCAAAGCTTTCGCAGGTAATTTGAGTTGTCTCTGCTTTGACTTTCTGTTCTAGAAACACAAGTACCCGGTTCGCGATAAGTCATGGCTGAAAATACCGTTGGCTAATTTATTGTGAGAAAAAATACTATTCATTAACTGAAAAAGTACGTCTTATAAGCCAAGCGAACTGGACGAAGACTATATGCATGTACCTATGCACATCCCGTCATTATGAAAACCTGCATTTAATAATTTAATAAAATTGATTAACGTTTTCCCTTCAATCATTGCAGACTTGGGACGGGCACCCTATTCGTTTGGGCTGGTTTAGCTTATAAGTCATGACTAAAAGTACTGTTGACTGGTTTGGTGTGAGAGAAAAATATTATTCATTGTTTGATAAACCATGGCTTATAAGCCAGATATAAGCGAGCAAACAGACCGTGGAACTGGGAGAAGGACGTCCTAGATTTCCAGTGGACTTACTTGTAGGCAGCCACAGCCCTGATTTGTCAGTTGTCACGCACAACTTCGACCGAGTCCTGCGAGCAAACAAGCTGGCCGTATCCACGCATGTCATTGTCCAGGACCAGGACTGAAGAAGCGAGTGATCCAGATGATTCGTCTCGGAATAAATCGTTTGCTTACAAAGACTGTCAACGTGTGACTCGAAGAAGAGAGCGCATTTTTTCCCCGAGGAACAAGATCAACGTGTCCTGCCAGCCCACTAGTTCAGCCCATTGAACAATTTCGGCCCGCTCAACTAGCCAGCAAACCCCACTCGAGCCCTCGTGTGCTGCTGGCCTAGTGCCTCGGCCCTCTAGTGGCCCGATACGAACAGTGAACCACCTGACAATGCAGGCCTGTTGCTAGGGGAACCGAGTCCACCAACCCAGGTAATAAAGCGAATCAGACCCACGGCCGCAGCAGGCCCGCATGCAGCGCGTCGGAAAAGGAGACGACAAGACGATGGAGGCACGGAGGACGGCATCGCCCCGCCTCTCCGGCCGACGGCATCGCCGCGGAGCAGCTCCAACCAAGCCTCCAAGGGCGTGCGTGGTAGGCTGGCTGGCAGCGATTGGCCGGCCTGTGCCCATCTCGTTCGGCCGGAATCCATCTGACAATGAACGCACTCAGTTGCAGCCTCCGTCCGATGATTGACCGACGACGCGCGGGCGTGACATGCGGTTGCGCCGCCGAAACTTTTTCAGCGATCCACGTCGTGTGCGCTGTGGAGATGTAGAGTAGAGTAGGTCCAAAAGGGGCGGCGCTCCGTCGAGTCAAGAAAAAGTCCGTCGGCTACTCATATCTCATCAGAGACCGGCCGTGGTCGACCACAGAAACCGGGGAAACAAGGCCAGGCCACGCTTTTCCACGGACGTCTTCTTGGTAGGATCCATATCATTGTTGATTGATTCTTCGTCCAACCAGAGCCGGGCTGGCAAGCGTTCCGGCATGTTCAATCGTTGGTTTCAGTCAAGGATTATTACCTAGCTAATAGTGTTTTTCTTTCACAACAAACTAACATTAGCCGGACTTATCAATCCAAAACCAACCAGCGAACAGTTCGTTCATCAGGTATGGACGGGATGGTTTCAGCTTTCAAGTTCGGGCGCACTCCTACCAGAACCAGAAAGATGCTCATCATTTAGTACAAATGTATTCATTTACAGTCTTATTAACTTAGAATTTGCTTTTACACCAACTTACAACACATGTTGTGGAACCGCAATAACTTTGAAAATACAAGCAGGAATGAACGGATTGGATGTTGATGCGGAAACAATGAAGGCAGCGATCGAACCCCCTCTTTCAACGACTTGTCTTTTGAAAATCCTTGTTGTCTGTGAAGGTCAGCCCACAAAGGACTTGTTTGGATACGGATGTATTCATTTTAATCTATATGTGTTAAAGTGGATTTGAGTGTATTTTTTTTAAGGTCAACTGGGGGAGGCGTTCCCCACCTGATTTCATATATTGACCCAAAACGGCCCGTTATATAGTTTACAAGACATTTGGTACATTTCAAGGGCGAACGGCGGCACAACCAAACATACACCAAAAGAGAGAAGAACTACAACACTAAAACACATAACTCTTCAACGATGCCTCCAAAGAGGTGAATGACGCTGCAGCGTAATCATCGTCGGCCAAGGAGCGAGAGGTGACTCCACAGGGTCTTGGCAAGGCTTTTGCCCAAGCCTTGTGCCGAGGAGTTGAGCGGATCGATCCAGGAGACGGCAGCAAGAGGTTCTACGATGACGCCTTCAAGAAGGAGTTCCTCGTCGCTGACATAGACTGATCTGTACTAAGCTTTCGCCCAGAACCTTTACCGGAGAACCTGTTGACCAGCCCACCGGAGGGAGGCGCGCACCTGGGCGTAGGGGGGCTACTGGTGACCGCCACACCACGCAGAGCCGTTACCGGACTCGCCCGCAAAAGTGGGAGGCGCGCACCGACTATCGTCCTCGCCTGGAAGGAGAGGTGGGGGTGGGGTTGCCGGCCGCCGCCACACCGCGCGGAGCCGTTCCCGGACTCGCCCACGACAGTGGGAGGCGCGCACCGGCAAGCAAACATGCCTAGATGAAGGGTTGTCGGCCGCCGCCACACCGCGCGGGGCCGTTCACGGACTCGCCCGCGACGCTAGGAGGCACGCACCGGCAAGCGTGTGCTGGCCGCCACCACACCGCGTGGAGCCGTTTTCGTACTCACCCGCAATGGTGGGAGGCGCGCATCGGCACGGCGCCCGTGGGCACGTAGCCCCGGCGGCGGCAAGCCCGCGGCCAAACTGCGCGCACCACACCGCTGCTGCCCCTGCAAAAACGAGAGCGAAGAAAAAACGAGCACGCTGC